ACCCGATAAGTAAGACTATTTAGTGTTTTTCACATTTATCAAGCTATAGCTTTATGATAAATGATTACTAGCTTGATCCATCCATCTTGACTCATGATCCTTAAACTAGAATTGATCCATCCGAAAAATTAAAAATAGTCGGACAGAAAAATTCAAAAATAGTCGCCAAGCGATACGGTATAGCCTAAAGGTATAGCCTAAAGGTATAAACTCAATAACGTCGCCTCAGTCTGTCCCGAGGATACCGTCATATCGAGATGCAACAGCAAATAGAATTAAAAAAAATCATTTAAAATATTTTTGCCATCCAATTTAAAAAACAAAAAAATTTTTCATTTAATAAAACTCATAAATCGACCAAAATCATCCATCAAAAATAATAGTAAAAATATTTTTAATATTTATACCATTAAGTTGCATAATTTAAGGGAGGTTGATGCATGAGGAAAGGAGAGAAAATTATTGGGAATAAAATAAAAAAAATAAAACTTTTGGTTATCGAGAATCTTGATAATATATTTAATAATTTTTATAGATTTATGGGGAGATTTTTTGTAAAAATAAGAGGTTGGGAAGCAAAGATTTACAAAATTTCACCTACTCCTGGGGCCTATTTCTCCCCTCTACAGATTCTGCGTTCTGTGCACAGAACACAATTTATTTCTCCGAAATTCTGCGTACGCGATTCTGTGGTGTCCGTAGATTCTGTGGATATTTCTGCAGAATCTGCGGAAGTGCAGAAATAGAAATACTGTGGTTCTGTGGTCTGTGCACAGAATTCCATCCGCAGGATCTTTGGAGAGGAGAAATAGGCCCCTGATACGAAGGAGTATTAGCAAAATTCCTGTACCTCAGAGAGGAGCTTTACTTTAGAAAATACGGTAAATCCTAGAAGTATACATAAGCTAGAGATGGGTCGGATACTTTAAATAGGGCTGCCGTTGGGCCGACGGTCGAGGCATTTTTTTAGGGCTTGTTTTTATCGAGTCGGGCCGGTACGAGTCTTTTTCGGGCCAAACATCTAGGCTCGACTCTATCTTTCGGTCCGAGTCGGTCCATTTTGGCAACCCTAATTTTAAACCTGGTAGCTTCTCTTTAGAACTGATAGGATTTTCAAAAATGGGTTTTATGGTTCTTCTGTGCTATAATTGAGAAAAAACCGGTTCGGAGAGTTTAACAAAAAAATCCGACGAGAAGGACTCAGGTATCGAAAAGTTCATACTCTGTTAAAAAGATAGCTTTCATCTTAAAAAAATTTTTTTCCAACATACCTAAGAAATCCAAAATTTAATTAAATTTATTTTTATTCCATTCTTTCCCATTTTTTCCCTTTCAATTTCAAACTTTCCCTCATTAAATTACATAAAAATAACCCCTCTTTAAAAATAAAATTAAAATCCTCTCAAATTTTTTTCTCTCTTCACAAATTTTTTTTCATCTCCCGCACTCTTTTTTTAATTTTATATAAATTTTGGAGTGGATACTAGCTTTAAATGCCGACAGAAAATGATTGCGACATTGTTTAGTTGAGAGAAAATACAGGAATAATTCGTTAAAATTGAAAACAAGTTTTTGCTTTCACAGATTTCTGGGTTTAAATAAAAACTGCTTTAGAAAATTATATAATAAAAAATGTGGATGAGGAGAGGTTGTTTAAATACTAATTTTAAAAATCAGAATTATTGAAAAACACAAAAGAAAAACACAATTAAAATACAAGAATAAACAGAAATCAGAATTTTGAAAACACAAAAATCAGAATAATTAAAATCAGAATTTGTAGAAAATACAAGAGGAAGGAGTAAGCAAAAATCAGAATTGGTTAAAATAAATTTACAAAATCAGAACTATAATTTAAATCAGAACAAATAAAAATCAGAATTAACTTGAATCAGAACAAATAAAAATCAGAATTAATAAAATACAAAAATAACTGTTCTGTTTTTGTATTTTCTAATAATTCTGATATTTAATAATTATTATTCTTGTGTTTGCAAATAATTCTGATTTTTGTATTTTCAATAATTCTGATTTTTGTATTTTCAATTATTCTGATTTTTGTATTTTCAATTATTCTGATTTTTGTGTTTTCAAATAATTCTGATTTTAATTAGTTCAGATTATTATTAATTCTGATTTATTTTAATTCTTATTTTTATTATCCCTTTCTCTTGTATTTCTATTAATTCTGATTTTAATAATTATAAAAAATATTCCCCATATGCGTTATTCTGGTAATAATTTAATATTAAGTAAATAAAATAATTTTTCATTGCCACTACCTTTTAAATACCTACAGATTTTATTTAAAAAAAATAATAGATTGATTAATCTTTTTGAAGGTAAAAGATCGTAAGGGGAGATTTGAGGAAATAAAATAATAAAAGAAAAATTTTCAAAAAATTAATGAAGGAAGAAGAGTCTAAAGATGAGTAAGGATAAAAAAAATTTTAAAAAATTGAAAGCGAAAAAATATAAAAATTGATTTTTAAAGGTAAAAGAAAGGGGATATTTTAATGAACGGATAAAATTTTTTTTAATTTTTTAATTAAAAAAAAAGTTAAATTATTAGAGGAATTAATTACTAAACAATGGGAAAGGAGGGAAAATATTCTTAATGACTATACATAATAAGACTTAAATTGTTTCCCAATTTTTAAGGCTGCATAATACATATAATATTTAATTAAATTTTAAAAAAGTTTAAAAAATTTTTGAAGATTTTTTATTTAATTTTTTGAAAAATTTGAATTAAAAAAGGGTTAAATTATTAGAGAAATTAATTGGGAAAGAAGGGATTAAATTCGTAGTGACCCTAATAAGATTTAAATTTTTTCCAATTTTTAAGGCCGCATAATATATATAATATTTTAATTAAATTTTAAAAAAGTTTAAAAATTTTTGAAGATTTTTTATTTGATTTTTCGGATTTTTTTAGAATTAAAAATTTTGGGAAAGGAGGGGAAAATATTCGTAGTGACCCTAATTAGAATTAAATTATTTCCAATTTTTAAGGCTGCATAATATAAAATATTTTAATTAAATTTTTTATAATTTTTTAATTAAATTTTTTAATAAAGCTTTAATTGTTTGGATTTAATAAATATATAAATTGTGTATTTAATTGTGTGTGTCCGGTGAAGGGGATCAACAGAGGGCCTGATCAACCCTTGAGTTTATCCTAGGAAGTCCCGGGTATATTCCCTCCCGTATTTCATTATTCGGGTATAGGCCCGCCGCATTGGTAATATCGTACTTCGGGGGTCCCACCTCTATTGGTAAAAAAAATTTAATTAAAAAACTCCGAAAATACCTTTGACCCTTAAAAAGAAAGTTTAAAAATTTTTGAAATTTGTTGATTTTTAGTGAAATTTTTTTCCCTTGGATTAAGTTTTAAAAATTAAAAACTCACCACAAGTCCTCATCCCCCTTTCCAAACATTTTTGAAATCGACAATGAGGACAACGTTTCCTGTTGCTTTTCTCTACAGTACAATTTTTATTGCCAGAACAGGTGTAGTGTTTTTTGTTTTGAACGGTTCTTTTGAAAAAACCCTTTAAAAATAACAAAAATTAAAATAAATTTTTTTGAAAATTTTAAATTTATTTTATTTTATCTTCCATCTTATGAAACTTTCAATAGCATAAACATAATATCGTGGAAAGAAGAATAGATAGTCTACAGGGTGACCAATAAGTAATTGCACCGCTTATTTATGCCATAACTTTATTCAATATTTAGATATAGGGATCAAATAAAGTTTAATTGATAGAGAATTAAATAAGGAACAGCAATTATCAAGAATTTTTGAAGTACCCACCCCTTGCCTTAACACAGAGTCGAAGGCGCGCGAAAATTTTTTGGGTCCCTATATCTAAATATTGAATAAAGTTATGGCATAAATAAGCGATGCAATTACTTTCTGGTCACCCTGTATATACTGGAATATATCTATAGTCCATATACTGGGAATTACCCTTATATCCAAATAGATATGTAACTGAAAATTCCCGGATATCCAGATCCGCCAACCCTACACCTAAAGTTAAAACACGTGAAGATTCTTGAATAACGTTGAAATATTCAGTCGACTACCTGCCTAAACCCCGACTTTAAAACATAAAATCCTTAAATCTCTAATCTCCAAATATTTTCATATTTAAATAATGCTTTAGGCAAAACAAACAAAAACAAATAAACACTTAATTACAATTATAATCCAATTTTTACATTTCCGTACATCTCCACTACAACCCCTTCTACCCCTCTACAGCCTCTTCTACCCCCCCCTCCCCCTTCTACCCCCTCTCCCCCTCTCTCCCTTACTTCGCCTAAGGGAAAATAAAAAAAGGAAGGAACACGCGTTTCCTCCTCTTCTCACTTATTCCACAAAAAATTTCCATGTTCACACACCAATTAAATAAAACAATTAATTGGCTGGCCAAGGATTAGAAAAAAATTATAATCCTTGAAGATGAGAGAGAAAAGAGGTTACTACCAAAATATTATTGTAAATAAATATAATTAATTAATTTAAGGAAGGGTACGAGGAGAGAAAATAATGAAAATAAGAAAAGGGAATGAAAAAATGTTACAAAATTTTTTGTTAATTTTTTGGTTAAAAATTTTTTTTATCTGTCATGGGAATAAAAATGGGAATTTTCGAGATCAGAGTCACAAACCCCGTCGAAATTAGAGTGATTGGATTTTTTGTCTAGCTCTCTCTTTTTTGCTTCTAATATCTCTTTAGACGCTTAACTCTCGCGTCACTTGACTCCCTCACTCACTTAACTCCCTCGCTCACTTGACTCCCTCACTCTCTAGTCTTTTCACTCCCTCACTCTTTCTATCGTGTTTCTTAATCTAAACTTGAATCTATCCACTCTCTCTTGAACTTCTATCTCGACTCACTTTCGTCTCACTTTAGACTTTCCCAATCTACACAAAATAACACAAATATTATATTACAAAAATAAAAATCACCTTGCAGGATTCGCAAGTCAAAAGACCATAATGATATCCAGAAACCTATATTTTAAAAAAATGATGTATTTATATGTAAATTTTATTATATTTAGAGTTGGTAAGAGAAAGGCGGAGGACCAAAAAAATTATTTAGGCAATAGGTAGAGGAAAGAAAATTATTTAAAATCCAAAGGAATGGAACGGGAACTCTTTTAAAAATGTCTCGAAATGCCCTTGGAAGGTCCAATATATAGGGGAGGGAGGAGCGAGGAAAAATTTTTAAAGTCTCGAACTCTCGCCTTCCAAGGTCAATGAATAATCCCAGTAAATATTCCGAAAATTAAAATACTTTATCATTGCAAATAGGACAATTCCCGAGATCTTGTTGTAAATTAGAGGAAGAAGAAGCTGATTGTTGTTGTTGTGGATGGACAAAAGAATGTTGTAGGTGGGTATTGCAAGGGGTGGAAGGGAGAGAAGAATAACGGCCAATGCTTTCATGTTCTGAATTTTTAAATTAATTCTAATAGAGACAGGTCTGGGAGGATCTAACGAGATTAGAGATGGACTTTCGAAATTAATTTGGTCTTAAACATAAGTAGATAGGTTGAATGTAGATACCGTATTTTCTCAAATAATTCCCCCTCTCGATTAATTCCCCTCCCTTGATTAATTCCCCTCCCTCGAATAATTCCCCTCCTTCAAATAATTCCCCCTCTCGATTAATTCCCAATGCTAGAGTTGGGTTGAAACAATAATTCCCCACCCCCAAATACCCTATTGCACGTTTAAATGCTGAAACTCGGATAATTCCCCTCCCTCGATTAATACCCCATGCCAAGGAACGGTTGAAAAAATAATTCCCCAGGGGAATTAATCGAGAAAATACGGTAGGCTGTTCTGGGGTCTCAAAAAGCCCGGGTTAACTCAAAATAATACTAAGAATTTTTGAATTCTCAAATAATTTTTAAAATTTTGTACATAATATGTATTTAAATATTTTTGAAAAATTTAAAAAGAATTCTAAAAGATTTTTAGATTTCCTGCGAATTAAACCTATAAAGTAGGGATGCGACTAACCCCGACCCCGAACCCCGACAATATTTTCAGCCCCGACCCCGAACAATTTGAGCAACCCCGACCTCGACTTCGTCAACCCGAAAACCCCGACTTTTTCAACCCCGAAGGCTCGGGGCGCAACCCTACTATAAAGTGTTTAAGCTCTTATACCCCCAAAATAAAGGGTTAAAAATATTTTTTAAGCTTCTTCAACCTAAATTTGGTTGTCTAGCCATATTAAATGGCTGGTTTAAATAATCATTATTATTATTATTGTCATCATTTCCATCATTAGCATCTGTCGGAAATTGAAGAAATGAAGGCACGATTTGTTGTTGTTGCTCGTTTGTTGTTGTTTTAGTCGCTTCACATTCTCCTCCATTAAATGGGTTTATCTGGAAGGAAAAAATATTTTTTGAAAATTTAGATGGGAAATGTAAAATATTGAGTTTCTGAGATTTTTTTGAAGCTTCTTGAAATTTTTTAAACTTCTTGATTTTTTTTTAAATTTTTTTGAACTTATCGGTTATCTCACCACACCTTATTTTCCTTCTATTTCCCCTTCTTCTTCTTCCCATAAGTTACAAAAATGCCACATTTTCTTTCCCACTTTTACCTCTTCTCCTTCTTCTCTAAGTCTATATACCTTAAATACTCTAATATAAGCCCTGGGCTTATATTTTTCAATGGGTCTTCATGGATGGGCTTATATTAGAGGTGGGCTTTTATTAGAGGCTGGGCTTATATTAGAGTATTTACGGTAGGTATGTATTTTTAAATCGACTTAACCGTTACCATTATTTGCCTGTGACATTTTTGTAACTTTTGGGAAGAAGGGGAAATAGAAGGAAAATAATGTGTGGGGAGATAACCGATAAGTACAAATTATTTTAAAAAATCAAATTTCCACACCTTAACACTATTCGACCGTATCAACCTCCCAATATTTTGTTGCTGTTCATTATTCCCATAAATATTAATATTATAAGGGGGAGAACAATTTGTAGGGGTAGAACAACTGCTTATAGGGGATATATTTATATTTAAATGTTTTTGCCCAGAATTTTGGTGGCTTGGATTAATTAAATTATTATTGCACTTTATTGTTGTTTTGGTAGTGGACAAATTAAATTTATTTTGTTCTTGTTGAATGGGGAGTTTTTGGTATATTAAACATTGTGGGGGCGAAGATGAAAGAATCTCTGTTTTTAACAATAATTGGCTGGAATCCCCATCTTGGCTACTATTCTCGAATGGCATTCAAATGAAGAAAGGGAGAGAAAGTATTTCTGAAAAGTTTAAAAATAAATTTTGAGTTGATTTATGGGGGATTTTAAGGAAAAAATGAGAGAAATTAGGGAACAGGGGTGTGCCGAAACGGATTTTAAAAAGCGAAACGCGAAATGCGAAAAGCAAGATTAAATTTAAAAAGCGAAACGCGAAATGCGAAATTAAATTTAAAAAGCGAAACGCGAAATGCGAAAAGCGAAATTAAATTTAAAAAGTGAAATGCGAAACTCGCACACCCCTACTAGAGAAGAAAGTATGAGTAGGCTGTGGGGGGTCAATTCAGATATAGATTATACTTTATGGGTTCAGTTCTAGATTTTCTTCAATTAATATTTGGATAGAAAATTAAATAAGGTATAAAATGCTATTAGAAGCAAAATTTTAACCAAAGAGATAAAAAAGTTAGGACCGAAAAACTAGTAAAAAGAGGTGTTTTATAAGGAAATGTTGGGTTTTTTTACCATAAAATTTTTTTCAAATTAATTTAAAAATAAATTTAGTTCGTTATTTTGAAGTTTATTTATTGCTCTATCCAAAAATAAAAATAACTCAATGAAAGCTTAACTTGTTAAAAAATTATAAAAGATAAAATAAGGCTATGTTGGGTGCAGCCCAAATAGGCGCGCGGCCAAGTAGGCGCAAAGCCATAACTTGCTTCAAGATTTTCGAATCTTAACAAATTTAGTATTAAACGATTCCTCTCAACGAGCTAAAAAGATTGATACCAAAATTTATAAGGAACAGAAATTTTCAAGGTAGTTATGGCTTTGCGCCTATATGGCCGTGCGCCTACTTGGCTATGTTGAGTGATTTTTAAGGGAGAATTTATTTAATATGTCTAATTAAATTTAATTTAAAAAATCCAAATTTTAAAATAAATAAAGCATAAATATATGGGGATATGTTGAAAATGAAAGGGAAAACTGAGTGAAGCTTGTAGAAGGCATGGAAAAAGGGGAGGGGTGAAAATGAGTGCTGCGCGGAGTAAAAAAAGGGGGAGGAGAGTGGACAACGGCCAGTAGTTGAGAGAATATTTTCTCTTCTTTTTCTTTTTTAAACTTTTTTTTATTTCCTGTTTTTGTAAGATTTTTTATGGGGGGGGGGTGTCTGATTATTTAAAAAAATATTTAATTAAATTTTTAATGCTAAAATATTTTTATAAAAAATTTGCGGACGAATTTTGCGGACGTTTTTTTGTCAAAATTGAATATATAAAATTTTGCTGATCGACTCAGCCATCGAGTTGAGTCCTTACCAGAGGTGGGTCGGAATTCCGAGTTCCAACGTTTTTTCCGTCCGATTTCCGACTTTTGAGCCATTTCCAATTTCCGACAGTTCCGATTTCCGACAGTTCCGATTTTCGACCATTTTCGATTTCCGACAGTTCCTATTTTCGACCATTTTCGATTTCCGACAGTTCCTATTTTCGACCATTTTCGATTTCCGACAGTTCCGATTTCCGACCATTCCGATTTCCGACAGTTCCGACAGTTCCGTTCATTTCCGATTTCCGACAGTTCCGATTTCCGACACCTCGGACTGTTCCGACCTACCTCTGGTCCTTACTAACAGAGTAAAATTCAATAGAACCTCGTTATAAGATACTGGCAGACTTGACTAGACATTCCTAATCCTAGATCCACCTCTGCTTAAGCACTTTTTAAATTTTGTTTGCCAATGAGTGGGAGAGCTGTCTAAGAAATCCCCTCTATTTAATATACACCTGATTTTAAGAGACAATCTTACAATAAAAGGTGGTACGTAACAGTGAGGTCTTACTGTAATGTTACTCTATCGAGCATTACTTAGTGACCTTTTTCTCTGATTTTCTTCAGTTGAATGATAGGGGAGCAGGCCAAGGTACCGCGAGCCCAAGGTACCGCAGAGCTATAACTTTGTTCAAAATTGTCAACTCCGGGACGCCCTGGTATGGTTCGATTCAGCTGGTCGAGCCGCTTCGAACCATACCAGGGTGTCCCGGATCGACAATATTGAACAAAGTTATAGATCGGCGGTACCTTGGACTTGCGGTACCTTGGGGTGTACCCGAAGGATAACTATCAGTTAATTAGTCTTAAAATCTGTCTATTAATTCCTTATATATTGGCCGACCCAAAAATTCTTTTCATCCATTAATCTGCTTTATTTCTCTCTATTTTTACTGTCACTTTCATTTTCACATCAATTTTTTTGCGCAAAAAAAAATAAAAAAAAGTAGATGTTCATAGAGGTATTTTTAAAAAAATGTCGCGACAATAAAACAACAATAAAAGAAAAACAACAACAATTTTTTTCAAAGAAACTTTTTTTTTCATTGTGAAAAGTAACTGGTTTTCAAGTTTTTTCGAACACCTAAAAACATGTTTTTTGTTGGTTGCGCATCCTGTGTTCAGTACTAGGACGGGACCGGGCCGTTTTGGCGCGAGGCCGTTTTGGCGCGAGTTTATAAGATAGCGAGTTGCTTATCAAAAATGATAAAATTTTGCAATAATAACTCTCGTGCCTTTATCTAAGTTCTCCAAAAATTTCAGAATTTTTGATCGAGAATTTCAGAAATTGTGGCCAAAAATGTTGATTTTCTGAAAAATGCCTAATTTTTCGAGGTCTATCGACTATAACTTCGGAAATATTTGATGAAAAATTCTGAAATTTCTGGAGGAGGTAGTCAACGATGTTAAAGAAATTTGAGAAAAATTTTATAAATTTAGGTCTCGCCTAAGTGCCACTTTTCCCAACCCTACTAGGACTGGGTTGGGATTTTGAATTATAACTCTAGATCAGATGAAGCTATTTTGGAGTTTTTGGTATCATTCGATAGAGAATTAAATTTGCTATCAGATAAAATTTGAAATTAAATTTTGTTTAGAAAACCAAAAAATTTATGACAGCGAACTTGCTTACCTTATGATCGGTAATAGGACTGTGTTAGACTTTAGTATTTTAACTCTATAAAAGATTAACCAATATACGAAATTTTGGTATCTTTCGATAGGGAATTAAATCTTCTGGATGTAGTTTAGTATACCGGACCCCAAAATTGTGCTTCCTTCCCCCTATGGTTTTTCGCTTTTCGGGAACCTATATCTCGGCCTACAGGCATCTCCGCGCTTGGAGAGTGGTACCGTTCGACTCAGCTCGCCGAGACGAATCGAATAATATGGGTCTTATATCGGAACTAAAACTCCGGTATACTAAACTATATCCAATCTTCTTCAGCTAAATATAATAGAAAGAAGATTTTACATATTGAGTAAATCAAAAACTATGAAACATCCAAACATAAATTTTCGATCACAACTTTCAAATAATAATCTTAAATTTAAGTTTCTCGGCAATTTTATAGAGAATTAAATTCCCTATCGAATGATACCAAAAGATTAAAAAAATTATTCATTATATCTAGAGGTATAAGGCCTAAACACATCTCTGGTCATCTTCCCCAGGGCCCGTAGAATAAATTCGGGGTAAGGGTTATTCAACCCCTACCTTGGGGTTAAATAACCCGTAACCCGTAGAATAAATTCAAACCCCTAGCTTCGGGTTAAATGACCGGGTCAGATAACCCGGTTATCTTACCCGCGTAACATTACCGGTAGAATAAATTAATTACCCGGGTTAAATAACCCGCAGGTAAGGGGCAAATTGCAACCCTACTAGGGGGCAGGGTAACATGCGAATTATGCATAATTTCCAAAAAATTAAAACATTTATTAAATTGCAAAATTTTTAAAAATTTTAATTTCTATTCAAAACGCATAAAAAAAATTTTTAACAAAAATTTTTTTAAATTTTTTAACAAAAATTTTTTAACAAAAACTTTTACAAAAATTTTTGAAGCAAAATTTATTCAACAATTAAAAATTTTATAAATTTTTTAAACTTTTTCATTTGACTACATATGTACATATATCTCTTTTTAATAATAACAATTATTGCGTAAACAATTATTGCGAAATGGATTTGGCAATAAAATATAAAGGGTCAAATAACCCAGTAACTCAACAAGTTAAATAACCTCTAGCTCGGTGTTAAATAACCCTTAACTCGGGGTTGAATTTATTCTACCGATTTTAACCCGTAGCTAAGGGTTATTTGCCCCTGGGTTGTTTAACCGGGTTATTTAACCGGGTTATCCAACCCCGAATTTATTCTACGGGCCCAGGGGACACGACCAAGTAGGCGCGCGGCCAAGTAGGCGCGAAGTCATGACTTGCTTAATGATTTCCGAATCCTTCAAAATTTGGTATTAAAAGATTCCTCTCATCGAGTTAAAGAGATTGGTACCAAAATTGTTGAGGTTCAGAAAATTTCCAGGAAGTTATGGCTTTGCGCCTACTTGGCCGCGCGCCTACTTGGGCGTGTCCCCTTCCCCAGCTCTCCCATTTACGCTTCCATGCATTCGCGCAACCAATCACCCCAACATTTTCTTCTATTATTTTTTTCTTTTTTATTCTATTTTCTCTCTTTTTTAACACAATCATCAATTTTTTTTTATTTTTTTTCTCTAAAAAATATTTTCCCAATTTTCGCCTCATATTATTTTTTGCGCATTTTCATTTGGTGAACACTTTTTTTCCAAAATTTTTTGCGAACGCTCTATTAGAAAAAAATAAAAAAAAAGTTTTGTGCATGGGCCAGCGGGTAGCTAGCAACCAAGCAACCCCCAGCCGGTGGCCATCTCTCTCTCTTTGTACACAACTTTTAGTAAAATAGCTAATTGCGCAGGAATGGTAGAGGCAGGCACCTTTCTCTCTCTCTCTTTTAATGGGGAGAAAGTTGTAATGAAAAAAAGTAAAATGAAAGTTGAAATGAGGAAAAAGATGATATGTGATGGAAAATAGATGGACAGGGCAAAAAATAAATAAAAATTGAGATTAGTATCTAATTTATTAAAATTTTGGAGGAAGAGCAATGAGCTAGCTATCAATGCCTTTATCCATATACAGTTGAACTTCTCTTTCTCTCCAAGATAGTTGAACGTCTCCAACAAATTAGCCTTCGGGATCGAATTTAGGAGATTTTAAAGGAGGGTGATATGTATGTGAGGTAGGTCAAATAAGTCTAAAACACATCTCCAAAGGGGCTGAATTTGGTGAGAAAGTAGTGAGAAAGTGCCTTAGCAGAAATGTGCCTTAGGTATCCGGATCCTTTAGGTATCCTAAAATTTTTTATCTGAAAGAGGATGTGAGCTCCAAAAGATGGGCAAGCATAAGTAGGTTTGGCTTATTCGGATCCAAAAAAATTGGATATTCAAACTTTTCGGGTCGGGGATCCGGATGTCTCCTAAACTCTAATCATAACGGCTCACAAAAATCCAAACGATTGTTTATTCAATAGATAGAGGATTTGAGACACTCTAACCAACATTACATAAGACAAGTTTAATCCAAACTAATAAAAATTCATCGAGAATACCCAGTAATATATGTAAATATTCAATTAAATTTAGACTAACGTTATTAAATGCCCTAAAATTTATTTCTTTTGACCGGCCATACCTACATATCTATTTCCAATTTCTTTAATATAGCTCCTTTCCCATTCCACGGATGCTTAACGCTCTGCGCACAATCACACATTCTTCTCCAAATTTTTAACCCTTCCTTCCCGTCATTTACCAATTCCATCAGTGGCCCTTGATGGACAGTATATTTTTGTTTGTGAAGTAGCAGCACAGCCAGGTACGGACAGGCACGGAACTCGTTTTTGTGCAAGTATTAAAAAAGGAGAAAAGAAGTTTTTGTAGGGTCCGAGAGAGCCACATGCATTTTGTTGCGTGTGAGAGGGAGAAGAAATGAATGAATGAATAATGCGGCTGGTTGCGCTTGCAGGCCAAAAGTATAGCAAATGTTGTGATCTAATGAAAGGTAGCATTAAATAAACTCGTATAACTCAAGAAGGGATAATCCTTTGGAAAGGGTTGGGGTCATAAGGGCGCGGGGCCATTAGGGCGCCAGCACTAAAAACTGACACTTAGGCGAAACCGAAATTTATGAAAATTTTCTCAAATTTCTTTAACATCCTAGACTACTTCCTCCAGAAATTTCAGAATTTTTCATCGAGTATTTCTGAAGTTATAGTCGATAAACCGCGAAAAATTAAGGTTTTTTCGGAAAATCAACATTTTTGGCCACAATTTCCGAAATTCTTGGTCAAAAATTCTGAAATTTTTGGAGAACGTAGATAAAGGCATGAGAGTTATTATTGCAAAATTTTATCTTTTTTGATAAGAAACTCACTGTTTTATAAGCTCGCGCCCTAATGGCCCCGCGCCCTAATGGCCCAGTCCCTTTGGAAATGATAAAGATATCGTTGGAAAGAGAATTAAATTTGCTTCAAAAAGTCAAAAATTTAGATTAAATAAACAAAGAGGAGTTGATAAGAACATTGTTAAAATTGGTAATTTTTCGAATGTTTCATGTAAGGTAACTCAAAAAGAGTTTAACATAAAGAAATGATATATCATTTGAATCAGGATTAAATTAGCTATGAAATGAATTTTGAACAAAAATTTTGGAAGATGAAGAGAAAAGAAGTAGAAAAAAACACTAGAAAATGACTACTTCGAGTTGATCCTACCTAAACTCTTATAGTAACACAAGTAGGGATGAACTAGAGAAATGATATTGATACAATTGGAAATAGGGTTAAATGAGCATAAAATGAGCTAAGAAGATAAATTTTTGGATAAAAAAGAAAAATACTATATATAGTTATAGTTCAAGACTAGGGTTGCCGTTTTCGAGTCGGGCCGGTACGAGTCACTTTCGGGCCCGACTTTATCGAGTCGGGCACCGAGACATTTTCGAGTCATTTATTAAAAGATTTATTTAAAAATAATTATTGGATTTGGAGGGAAATCTGAGAATTAAAAGGTATATTGATGGATCTGGAGGGTAAAGAAAGGGCTGAAGAGAATTGGGATGGATATCAGTTTGGGACCTCTTGAATAATCGAGAATTTTTGCCTATTCTCATTATTGCCTTACTTTAACGTATATTCACTATTTACTAAAAAATGATATGATTTTAAATAGCTACTCCATTTTCAAGTTATTAAATCTAAGTTCAAGTTTACGCCTTTCAGTGGTATATGTAGTCCAACAGTTTAGTGGGTTCTTTTTAAAAGAAAAAGGTTAAAAATGGATTAGGCAAAGGATCGAACTAAAAATAAAATTTATTATTATTTTGGAGCAATGCGGGAGGTTTTAAATTTATGAAATACAAAATAATAACTTAAATAAATTGAAAGAATTTAATTCAAAACACAAAGTAGAATTTAATTTAAAAACTTTAAAATTATGGCAGTAAATAAAAATGTAACGAATGATGCAAAATCAAAATAAATTCGTATTAGTTCAAAGGCATTCTATGATCAAATTTAACTTTATTAACCAAAGTTTGTTTCGCTAATTTTAAAAATATTGATAAGCCAAAATTTAATTCAAGCAGAACTTAGTAGTAATTATGAAGTTAATTTACATAAATGAATTTCCTATAAATTCCATCCTCATCTTTAGATACCTTGTGGAGTCGAAAATCGTCGCTTATAATGAGGTATATATCATAGAGGGTATCGCCTACGAAACTACGCTACCTAGAGGGAAACAAAATTAAAAATATATTAATATGCGTTATCACTAGGCGTTTAAAATCAGGTTAACTGTGAAAAATTCATTGGATACTAAAGTGGATAGAGTCTAATAAAAAAATTGCAATGAAGTTAAATTGAGAGGCTAAAATCAGGGAAAGGCGATTTGGTCAGTATTTTTAATAATGGCCCCTCGATCTAAAATAATATTTAGAAGACGCGCATTCATGCAATCACAACAAAAAGTAAATTTTCCGAGGGTTTAAAAATTGTAAAAAAAATAAAAAGCAATCGACAATCAAGAAAAAAGTCAATGTACAAACAATCTCCACCTCTTTTTTTATATTCATTTTTCTTTTTTTTCCTTTTCACTTGAAAGAAACTATTTACTCCCGTCATTTCTGCCAAAACATTTAACTAACCAACCCCTTTACACTTGCGCACCCTTAGCGAGTTTTTGGGGTTTGGCCTTGGAGGCTTTAAAACGCTGAAGAAGAGATTCGTTCAATGGGGTCAAGGCGAGAAAAAAAAGAAAAAAATGTTTTAGCTGTTGCCCTTCAAAAGGAAGGTCAAAATCGAAAGGAAAGACGTGTGAACTAGGAAGGATATACACACTATTTTCTCCAATCTCGATTTGGATCATACAATTATTTAGTATTTTTAACCTTTCCATGAAAGGTAGTTGGAAAGAATAAAGTATTATTTTTGTATAATAAAGTGATAGCAAGCAAAGTACTTGACTACAAATCCAATTTTTATTCTAATTTATACATTATTTTATATTTGGAATAATTGCTATTTTGTAAATATTATTTAATTTTTAATTAAAGATTTAAATTTATATATTATTTAATATTGGGAATAATCGCTATTATGTAAATATTATTTAATTTTTGATTAAAGATTTTAATTTATATATTATTTTATATTTGGAATAATTGCTATTTTGTAAATATTATTTAATTTTTAATTAAAGATTTAAATTTATATATTATTTAATATTGGGAATAATCGCTATTATGTAAATATTATTTAATTTTTGATTAAAGATTTTAATTTATATATTATTTTATATTTGGAATAATTGCTATTTTGTAAATATTATTTAATTTTTTGATTAAAAATGGGCAAAAAAGGCCTTCAGGAAATTCTTAAGTTTTGGAACTAATGGCAAAATTGCAAAATTGTGCGAGGGAAATTTTACGAAAAAATGCGATAAAACAGGATGTTAAAAGAAAAAAAATTCAAAATTTCAACAATTCTAATTTTGGACAAGTGTCAAAGTTTGGATATGTAAACTTAGGAACAAAGAGAGTTTCTTGGGAATTTCTTCACTTTTCCCGAATTAAATAATTTTAACTTTTGCCGGTAATCACTGATATAAGTAGGGATCGGATTTATATTTAAATAAGGCATAAAACCGACCTTGGTCAAGAAAAAGCCTTGACTGACCAGTGTCTAACCATTGAGTTCTAATAGAAGAAAGACAGAAATAACCAGTGATAGATGTAATAAAAAAATGGAGAGACAGTGGTCAGTTCGCGGGCAGGGCCGCTTCAGTGATTTATTTAAATATAAATCCGATCCCTAGATATAAATTTAACTCTACATATTATATCCAAATTAAGCCAAAAAATAAAATATAAATAATATTCCTTTATTTATTTTTCAATTTGATTTAAAAATATAAAATTTTATTTTTAAAATATTTTCTAGAAATTTATTTTATTAATTTTCTCCAGGCTTTGCAAACATTGGGTTGACAACTGGTTCCTTTAAAAATTAAATTTTATTAAAAAATTTTTTAAATTTTCTCACATCCTTTTTGACTTTGTGTGCAGAGATGTATTGGTATTGGCTAGCATCTTCTTTATCTCCTGTTGGAATGGCATCGATATCTCTGGCCACAGCACTAAAATTAATTAAATTTTTTAGATTAAAAGTCATCCAAAAGACTAGGGAAGCTCCACTGCTTTGTTACAGCCGAATCTCACTACAAGATACCTATTAATAAGGGCACTCAAGTTAAGGGTTTAAAATTTGTTTGATCATTGGACGTCCGATCCTCTGTATAAAAAATAAAGAATGAACCTGACGTGATCTCGGACACACAAAAATCTAGGTTATCGAGATCGGGATTATTGAAGAAAGGGTTTGCAAAAGTTTAGCCACCGTGCAGGATTCGAACCTGCGACCACCTGCTAGTTGTTGCTAGGCGCTTTCGCTCACTATATGCAGGAGCTCTACCTCTGAGCTACCGGGGCATCCACTAATGCTTTCTCTTTTTCCTTTTTAGATCGTTAACCCCCGCCTGAGCGTTTTAAATGCTGCTAGGT